TCCCCTAGCCCACGTTTCCCTACGTGGTGACCTGTGGGAGGGCATGAGATAACACCAGAGCTGGTTATCAAATGCTCTGCTGTGCTCTGATGGGTTTAATATGGGCTGCCTAATATTTATGAACTGATGTTATTAATCCTGTGAAATATTTACTCATGGAACTGTGTTTGCAGGGCAGTATTTGGGTAAAAGAGGTGGGACAGGGTTTGTGTTGGGGTAGAAATGGCCACTGCTGGGTCTGCTGCAAAACTTGCCTTGGAAGGAGCAGTTGACTGTTGTCAATGCTACATGCTGAGTTGGGTTTGGGTTTTGAGGTTTTGAATGCTTATGACATGTGCTTCAGTGGTTGCTAGTTCTGGAGCAAAATGCATTGCAGTTGACCTGAATTTATCTACAGATAAATCATAGAATCCCAGACTGGTTTTTGTTGGAAAGGACCTTAAAGCTCCTCCAGTTCCAACCCCTGCCACAGGCAGGGACACCTTCCACTAGAGCAGGTTGCTCCAAGCCCCTGTGTCCAACCTGGCCTTGAACACTGCCAGGGATGGGGCAGCCACAGCTTCATAAGGGAGCGTATGAACCTTATGTGTGCATTGAAGTATCCTTTGAAATCCTTTAACAGCAACTGTTAATTGCATTTTATACCATAGAACACCAATGGCCAGGGACTTGTAGCCATCGAAGAAGGTAAGAAAAGCATTTCTTGATCTGCCTCATAACAAAAGCTATAATTAAATGGTTAAGAGACTAGACAAGTGCTTATCTCTTCCATGTACCATTTGGTAGCTCAGTCTGCGGGAGGGTAGCAGTGATTGTTGCTGTTCAGAGTGGTTATCTAGTGTGAGGTGGCGGGTGGTTGGATCTGGATGATCTTAATGTCCTTTCCAACCCAAACCGTGCTATTATTCTGTGGTTGCTGTTTAGGTGATGTGCTTAATAGGCCTTTAATGGCCCACTTAATAGTGAAGGAGGTTCAAAACTGCTGAAAATTAGCACTCTTGCTTGTGTTAACTGTTTACACACTTGCCTGGTGTCACTAAAAGTTCTTTGGGTTGAATATGAATCTGTTCTTCGAAGGTCCAAGAGCCAAACTGTTTTCAGGATTGGGTGGGAACTAGTTCCCACTGCTGTGGGAGCTGCAGTTCTGTAGACAAGCTGGGGTAGTTTTGAAGTGTTATGCTGGAGTATTTGTTTTTACCAATAGTGGTAACAGTGAAAACAGGTAAATGAAGTTGTCTGTATGGTACCAAGACAGGCTGTGAAAAAGAGGTGGAGAAGGGGTGAGTTTATAACTTACTGTTACATACATATAACTGGGGGTTTTGCATCTGTAAAAGCCTTGGGGAAAACAAAAAGCTAACAAACAAACAAAATACCAACCAAAAAAGCCCACAGGAAAACTGACATTCCCAGCAATCGGGGGATTGGAGGGAATGTTAGTTCCCCTTGAGGAGAAGGCAAAACATGGTCTGGCTTTAATCCCCGTTAATCAAAGGGACTAAAAAGGATGTCAGATCAGACTGTGTATCTTTGGAACCTCTCTTGCCCCAAGAACTGTGAAAAGAGATACAGAGGGGGCAGGAAAGGACTGATGGTGGTGACTGCTTTTCCTCCCACCCATCCTGCCTGCCCCAGGCTGAGACCCTCAATAACACAATAAATGCTCTGGCAGCACCTTATTAGATAGCAGTGTATGACTTCACTTCTTTGTACTAATAGCCACCTTCAATTACACTGTTAAAAGTTATGATATGGCTGGTATTAAAGAAAGACAAAGAGTTGATTTTCACTCTTTTTATCCCCATGGATATGGGGAATTGAAGTCTAGCTGGTTGTTCAGAGTGACCTCTGAGGTGTTTAGGCATTAACAAGAGGTTCAGGGTACGTAACTCCTTTTAGGGGCTTATAATATATCTATAAATATTAATTTCAGATAGTTCCAGCACCCACTTTTGGCACTGCTTTGCCACTGTACCAAGCAGTTGGCAGGGCTGATAGAAACGCACAATTATGAGGGTTTTGGACCACTGAGGAATGCAGCAGTGATGTCCACAGGAGGAAGACATCCAGAAAGTCATTCACCCATTGCCTGTTCTCAAAGAGGGCTTGTTCAGCCTGGAGAAGAGAAGTCTCCTGAAGGGGAAACCTTAGAGCAGCTCCAGTGCCTAAAGGGGCTCCAGGAGACCTGGAGAGGGGCTTTGGACAAGGGATGGAGGGACAGGACAAGGGGAATGGCTTGAACCTGCCAGAGGGGAGACTGAGATGAGCTCTGAGGCAGAAGCTCTTCCCTGTGAGGGTGCTGAGGTGCTGGCACAGGGTGCCCAGAGGAGCTGTGGCTGCCCCATCCCTGGCAGTGTTCAAGGGCAGGTTGGACACAGGGGCTTGGAGCAACCTGCTCTAGTGGAAGGTGTCCCTGCCCGTGGCAGGGGTTGGGACTGGAGGAGCTTTAAGATCCCTTCCAACCAAACCAGTCTGTGACTCTTATGAAACCCCCCAACTACCTTTGTGATCCCATGGATGAAGCAGCTGGGGACCTCAGGGCTGTGGAGGCATTAAAACCCAACTCAGTGTGTTGCAGAGGAAAGAGAAAACATCTGATACTCTCATTCGTGTGATGTGGTTTGGTTCAGTCTTTGCTCTACTGGTATCTCCCTCTCCAGGAAGGCGCGGGCGTCCTCGGCTCGCGGAGGTATGAAGTGTTTCCACGTAACGAGAGAAGCTGTGTGTGTTAATTTTTATGTGCATATTTTACAGCACTTTATAATGATATTTAACAGCATAAAATGTTGGCACACACTGAAAATTGGTGAAAGTTCAGCCATCTAATTTGGGCAGGTTATGCTTACAGGCACTCACACTTGCAGACAGTTTAATAACAGTATTTGGCACTGTCTCTTCGAGCTGCTTAAACTAATTAATGCATTTGCTCCCTACAGGATGAAACTGAGTTTTCAGATACATTTATAAAATGATGTGCATGATTGCTAAATATGTCATTCTTTTCAACTATAACTTTGAGTGGTTTATGTGGGTGCAGAGACAGTTTATATTCTCCCATGAAAAATGTGCAGTGGCTCCGGAAAGAGGATAATCTCTGCCCTGGCTTGTCAGAAGAGGATAATCTCTGTCCCTCTTTTAGCCTGTTACAAGGTGCTCGGTAATTTGGGCATCACTTGGCACAGGGATGGTATTACGGGAGGGGGGTTATCTGGAGATGCTCCGTTCTCATGCTTGGTGCTCCGTCAGCTGCACCCACTTTTCCCCTTATTCCCACAGCTTTCAGGTTACAGGTCCATCACTTCCCATTCCACAACCTCCCCTGCCAAAATGATGGCAAGAAAGGGGAGTTTTTGGACTCAACCCCGGTGATGTGCAGTCTCTGTGCTCCATTGATATAACAGATGACATCAGGCAATAATTCCCCGAGACCCCTGAGCAGGGGAGGTTAACACTAATCTCGCTGGCTTGAAAAGAAGGTTAAAACAATAATAAGTAACAATTTGATTTGGAATAAACCTTTCTGAAGAAATCACAGTAAACAAAATCTGTTTGCCTAAGGAAACCCTCCCAGCAATCAGCTACTAACACAACTGCTTGTGCTAATGAACCCAAAGCTGTTAATGTGGTTTCTTCAGTTAAATTGATTCATGAATTTTGAAGAGAACATTATCTAATGAATTTTCTTTGAATAGAAAGCAATTAAAAGGACAAATCAGTCTGATTAACCCCAAAGTCACCCTACTGCCACAAATGGTGTACAGTTTGAAATTATATCATAAAAAACTAGAGCAGATTTGCCATCTCTTTGCCCTCTACTAATCCATGTAAATTAATGAACAACAAAGTTAATTTCTTTGATGACCCTTTTCTCGTATCACCTGGATTATGCTGATGTTTAATTTGCTTAATGTTATAATAAAGACTAAACAGATTTTTTTCAATGGAGTGATTATCATTCCCTTCAGTTAAGAAGTGATTTTTATTATTTAACACACACATAATGGTGTATGAGTTTCCTTTAAGACCAAAATCACATTTCACTATGTTCCTGGGTAACATAATCAATGTCTTTTTTGACAACTAAAAGAAAGAAAATGCTTTTAATCAGTTTGTTTCTTTGCCAAAGCAGGAGGCTGGGGGAAGGGGCCTCCTCTCCTTTCTTTTTTTGCCTTTTTTCTTCTCTTTTTATTCACCAGCTCCCTCAGTAAGTTATTCACTAGTTAGATCTTCAAAGCTTTTACAAGTGCCTTGGAAG